GTTTCAGTTTTTATTTTTAGATTTTGTTTTAGATTTAGATTTTTATTTTTTAAGTTTCTATTTTTGATTTTCAGCTTTTGGTTTGGGTCTTTAATTTTTAGACCCGCTGAGTTAGTTTGAACTGATATTACTAACAAACAAATCTCAAATAATCGAACTTCTAATTTAAAACTGAAAAGATGACAAAAAATTTTTTAAAGAAATTTGCAATAGTTTATATTGTAAATAAACAAAAGCAAAAATATAACATGCGTTTTCAGCTTTTGGTTTTGGATTTTAGTTTTTATATTTGGTTTTTGGTTTTGCTTTACAATTTTTTTTTTTTAGAATCAGTAAGTTATTTAAGAAAAATAAAAAAATAAACTATTTAAAAGTTACCATTGATATTTATCAAAACAGAGTAATTGTTATTTACAATAAAAAATACATTAACATGTTTTAAAGTACATGATTTAAATAAGTGATTAATAATATATAATTTTGTTTTGTTTAAAAATATTAAATACCTTTGGGCCTGAAAATAGTAACTGATTTTTTGATTCATTAAGATGGAAAGTTTATTCACTGTGCTTTTAGAGTTTTTTCTTAATAATTAAGCCCAAAAACCAAAGCATATAATTTGTTTTAAAAACAAAAGTAAGCCAAGACTCTATCCTAAAATAACCGCCGGTTTAATTTAAGTAATATGGTTCAATCAACTATATGATTTGTATTATTTGTAACACTCTAGAAAGAATCAAAATTTAAATGACAACTTGTATTACTAGATAAAAAGAATGATTTTATTTTAATAGAGTAGATGTGTGGTAAAATCCTTGGTGCTATTTGAGAAACTATGTAATATAACAAAATACTATTTCATAGCCAATTTTCAAAACTTATTTCACTCCCTTATAAGATATATCACACATATGTATCGAGAAAAAGAAGAAAACTCCATGATTTATGTCACTTCTATATATATTCCATCTACATGAAAAGACGAGAAATACAGATTTAAACACAATCTCCAAAGCCCTTTTCCACTGAAAGATAAGCCACTTTCTCATGTGGTTTTTGAATCTTCCCCTACTCAATCAATTTCCAGTCGTCTTTATTTTAATTTTACTTGTATAATCTTAATAACACCCCTTCTTTAATTTATGTATCATTTTAATTTTAATTAACCTCTTCATCAGACACGGTCCTGTGAGCACGGTACACACTACATGTGTGTACATATTGTGATATGAGATAAATCCATAAAGGCTAGGGCAGGTATTACTAATTCCTTTACATGTCGGGGGATGACTCTTGATCAGCTGACTGTGTGACACGTGGAGTAGGATATCACTTATAACTCCAAAATAGTTAATTAGTTCGATTTTTTGGGACTCCAAGGAGATCGAAGAGCCAGTTCATCTCAAATTACTGCTTAATCCATTCAATACGGATTCAAGACTGCTGGTTACAAACTAAATGGTCTTGCGGATTCATTACGACCGAGCTCCCACTAATCAATATCGACGACTGATCTAAGACATGACTCCATTCTCGTATGATTTGCAGCTTTGAATGATTAAGTTCTCCGTGTCTAAAGATGCACATTTGTTGTAAAATAAGAAAAACAAGCATAAAGAGTATAAACTTTAAGATGTACATATTTTTTTCTGTGTTATTTTTTCCTTAGATACATTATGTAATTTGTTTTCGCCAGTTAGCGTAGAGCATTTTAGCTTTTACTGCGTACATAGTATAATACAATATTGTAATAGTCTGCACATTGTATTTATGTACATAAATAATTTTGATGAGTTAGCAAACATTTTGGGACGACCACTATTTTGTAAGATCCAAAATTAAAACATCTATTGTCTCCAAAAGATAGTTTCATTCTATCAGTTTAAGATGGTCGATATTTTGTTGAAGAATTGACGTGCAAAAACATTATTTATTGAAGAACTTGCCCACTATCACTTCTACAGTTAAACGGAAATTTAGTGTGTACACAAGCAACCGCTAGGGCTTTGTGTTTTGACTATATTATCTTAGGGATCGGAAAACAAGAAACAATCAGGGACCACGTCATTGGTTTTCATGAACTACTTTGATATTAATGAAAATTAATTTTAACTAAGAAATAATTAACAGTAATTAATTAATTAAATAACACCTATATCCTATGTGTTGTTCCCTCTAAGTAAACCATAAAGCCATCTTTCAACATTCAACCATCCACATGCAGGTTGTGACACCATCATTATAAGTTATTCCAAAATCACGTAATTAAATATCATAAGTTAGCAGCTTTAGTTATTACTAGGGGTATACCGGCGCTACGCGCCGGGTTCTTAAATTGTATTCTTAAATAAATTTTGAATTTTGAAATTTATTTATGTAAAGATGAATAAAAAGGTGAAGAAATTGTTATTTTCTTCATTTTTTATTCATAGTTGGAAATCTTGTGTTCGTGTATGTATTACTTTGGAGTTTCCGGACGTAGCTGTGGTCGTTGTNTACTAGGGGTATACCGGCGCTACGCGCCGGGTTCTTAAATTGTATTCTTAAATAAATTTTGAATTTTGAAATTTATTTATGTAAAGATGAATAAAAAGGTGAAGAAATTGTTATTTTCTTCATTTTTTATTCATAGTTGGAAATCTTGTGTTCGTGTATGTATTACTTTGGAGTTTCCGGACGTAGCTGTGGTCGTTGTCGGTGAGGCAATTTCTTCTGTGGAATAGTTTGTTGGATGTTTATGAGTATTAGGTTATATGTCTAGCCATTCTCTTAATTAGGAGAATTTTGTGTTCAGCAATTTGGTGCGCAAATCTTATTTGGGTCGAATTTATTTTACTGTTTAATATATAATTGTTTGGGTATAAATAGAAAATCATTTTTGTATTCTGAATGTTAATGTATATCGGCTGCTAAGATAAACTTTTAAACCAAAGCATGGTATTTGAGGTATGAGGAAGTTGTTTTACCTGGAGCTTTTGTAGTGATGTAAGAAACGCTCTGTTTATTCTTTGTCGTAAAGATTTTAGTTCTGCGTCTGTATGATATTAGTTCTGTACCGTTTGGCCACCTGTTGATGACCATCATTGCAGACTTCTTAAAATGCTGATAACTTGACTCGTTGCCTTAGCTGTGTTTCCTGTGACGAAAGGACCAAAAGTTTCAGTTATAAATTTTATAATGGTAAGTAGAATAATGTAGTTTCTGACTTACTTGGCCTGAGATTTCTTTAAACAATGTTAGTAACATCTTTCGTTGTTGCACCTTCTGAATCATCTAGGATTTCAGTAGGGGTAGTGTGGAGATCACGCCTGGGATTAGTTTGGGTTAAAGGTATCACCACTGAGGGATCATTCGTGAGGATTCCCTGTTGCGCTACCTGCCATTCTCGTGCCATAGAAACTGCTTTCGACAGTGTTTCCTCTGCAGTAATGACTCTGTTTTCAAAGATTAGCTGGTTTCTTGAAGTCCAAATGGTCCAACAAATCCAGGGAAACAGAGGTCCACCCGATAAGCCTGCTGGTGGGAGATTGGTAATCTTCGTTGATATTTTCAGGGCTGAACCAAAGTCAGGTGAGCTGGTTATGAGTTCTGGGAAAAATAGATGAGCTAACGATTTGAAGGCATATGACTTTACAGGGATTTGAAATTAAATTTAAAACTATAAGGCGTTGTGAGGGTAAGGAGATAAGGCCAGTCTGGGTGAATGCAAATTTATTAACTTGAAATGTCTGAGTGGTGCGAATTTAGAAAATATAAAGCAACATAACTTAATCTATGAAAGACTTGAAGTGCTCTGACTTCGTTGTTTTTGGATATATAATTAAAAAACTAATGCAACGGATATGTCCACTTGTCTTTCAACCTCAGCTCCCCTTGTGCTTCTAAATTACTTATTGTGTTGTTTCTTTCACAGAGGAAACAGCTTCCTTCTCTTGTCATCATCGCTTCTGTTCCTACAAAGAAAATGCTTTAGTTAGAAAACAACTTTCTTTTGAAATCAACAATATCAGACGAACAAAATATCACAGAAACCCCACAATAATAGATTTCTAGAATGAGAGTTCAGAAGCCTGAAGTTAAAAAAAAAAAAAAAACAGACTATTGGCTACTGAAAACGTTTTGCAGAGAAGGCGGAAAAAAAAAAAGAAACAGCAATCAATTGAGCAGACTCTTGGAAAGGAAAACAGTTCAGAAGACGTTTTGCAGAGAAAAAGAAAAAACAGAATCGAGTAAGCTGGATAAATTTGAAGTTGTTCAGTATTAATGTGTTGACCAAATAAAGCTACCATGATAGATTTAAAAAGGAAGGAAACTGCCCACCATTCTTCTGTTCCAATTAACCATCTAAGGATCATCATTCTTAGGAAATTGCCTTGGTGCAGTCTCAGGCAATGACATAGCTTCATAACCCTGATAAGTGCATGGCGTCTAATAATATTGAGGCAGATAAAATCTCCAGTAAGTAAAGAGGAGTCCTTTGTAAAAAATGTATCAACACCATCTTAAACATTTGGAGCATTAGCATATTGCACTTCTGTGGTTGTACATGTGGGCTTGTAAACTTGGTCGTAATCTTGTTAAACTGTTATCAGTTTGTTCTTAATAAGGTTGCAGAGAAACTATTTTACACAAGTTTTCCATCGATTGCGCCTAGTACTTGTGTGGTTATAGTTGTCGACTTTTAAACTTGTCCTTAATCATGTTTAACCTCTCATCAGTTTAGGGTGATAATCTTTCTGACCGAAGATACCCATTCATCGTGCTTAATTTAATTTTATGTAAGCAATTAAACTAAGAAGGGATGTATGATTCCCAAACATATAATTTGGAGACATGCACATGCGTATTGAATAAAAGATCTTAATTTAAAAAGAAATGACAACCACACACTCCAGTTATTTTTTTTAAACAAAGGAAAATGGAAAAAGCAAAGAAAGTTAAACGCTAAAACAGAAAATGAAAAAGGAAAATAGGTGATTGTTCAGATTATAACAGTGGTCTCATTCCACTCGTGCCTTCTTCAACGCCTTCTCATCCAGGGCAGATGGTTCTTTGGGTGCTGGTAAACCATCGGTCGCCACGCCTTCACTTGTACTTGATTCCTTGGCAACCTTGCTAGGGTTAGTCGACGTGTCGAATGTTCCTGGTTCAAGAGCTCCAGGAAGTGATGACTGTGGGACCTGTAAACCTTCCTGCTATTAGGACAGAATCTGATTATTTTGTTATAATCAACAAACCACTATACCAAATATGACAATACTGACAGCAAAGATTGGCATGGGGGCAAACTCTCATGCAATGAAGATGCGGGAGATGGTAAAGGTCTTGTGATTGGGTGTAAAATTTTAATCTTTTAATTTCAGCTGGAAGGTGTAGGTATTTCCAACGACAACAGCAAGTGATCCAGGCAACTCAGTGTCAACTTGAGTATTAACACCTATCCCCTGCAACCCCATCATAGTCAATATATGTGAGTTACTTCACAAAAGAAATAATATAAAGTGATAGTTAGAGGTTGGTTATTATGTCTGACCACAACCTGAGCAGCCTCAGAAGCTTGAATGAGCATTAGCTTAGCAATTTCCGTATCAAAACCGAGGAGTGAAGCTGTGTCACTGGCGTCTGACACAGAAAGTATCACCTGGTACCTTGTGGGAAGGGAAAATAGTGTTATTTTGGTCTCATGACGATGTAAAGCAGTAGTTAAAATTTAGCTACCTGAGTTCCGCGACAGCATTGCTTTCATTGCAGTGTACACATGTGAAAGAATTTTCCTCTCGGATTAGTTTCTTTGAACGTTTGGAGCAGCCGATATAGCACCAACCCTCATCTTTCTGGATCTTTGTCACTTTGGCTGTACAGAGGAATTCAATGATCTGCAACATTTAGCAAAATGAAGGTCAATACAAAGATACTTTTAGAGGGTATGTAGGAACGATCTGTAAGAATAAATTTAACCAACTGAGGCTAAAGTTGAAGAGGAATTGGGAAATTGTTACTTGAGGATCAGCAGTGATAACAAACTGGTTAAACTCAGCAACAGTAAGAGGTTCAATTTTCTGTGAGTGAACCACTTTTGATGAAGACCCAATCTGGTTTGTCACACCACCTGATAGTCTGCAAGGTGATGAAGACGACATTTCAATTGTTTTAATACGAAACAAACAACAATATCAGCAGCATATGTAACGTTTAAACCAAATACTAATAGTAAACATTTCACACCCAAATATACTGAATATGAGAAGACTTTAACAAATTAGAATAAGAAAACTCTCCTGTCAAACACCTCTTTCCTGAAATTGTCTCAGAGTCAAAATAAAAATGAGTGGCAGAGGTCCCATTCAAGTATAAATTTCTTGACAAAACAAACGTATTCAAAGTAAGAAAAACCATGGCACCAACACCAAGCGTGATCTTTCAATTACATTCCAGGGAAAATTTAAAATTGCTCACCACCAACTATCTTTGGGTTGACGCTTGTGACAAGAACAACCCTGGGCTCTCTCCCATACCTATCCAAACGGCTATGGAATCCAAGAGCCTGGGAATCAAACATGCTTACACACACGTTGACGTCTCTGCAGAAATTTTTTGCGTTATTATATAAGATACTCAGAAGTACATTGGTAAAAATCTTATATATAAGACAAACCAAAATACCTGTCCAGCCTTAAAGTGATCATCAAGAGCTTGGTGGGTATGGTCCCAACGGTCGTATTAAGCTTCTCAAAAGAAGTACCATCAGTGAACCGTATGGAGAGGGTTGCATCAGATAACCGGTATTTTGGGTTCCTCCGAGTGACATCAAAACCGGTTAGACGGTAGACAGAACCTTCGGTGAGACTCTGCCTGAATCTGAGCTGTCGAACCGCGGCAATGGATGCTTGCATCAGCGTTGCCTAATTTAAAAAAAAAAAAAAAAAATTAGTTACTAATGATAAATAAACGCTATCATAGAAACATATATTTGATAGATACAAAAAAAACTTATTGCGAGGTTCCGATTAAGGTAAGAGCCCAATCAAATAAAAGACGAATATTGCGGAGAATAAAATCATGGTCGACTGTTTCAGAAATAAAAACTTTTGTTACGATTAAAGAAAGAAAACCATATATGAAGGAAAGTAAATGGGAGAGACCAAAACAAAGCTTTACAGATCTAAACAGAGTGAAACGTTTCAGAAGGAAGATATATTGTAGAGAGTTAACAGGGTTTAGATGTTCTTACGTTCTCATCAATCAGCAACATGTTAAGACTCATCAGCTCTCCGGATCGGCTGCTGTTCCTGCTGGTGTTCCTCGCCTCCCAAAACCAAAGTAGTGTGACTTCCGCCTTCTTAGAGCAACGTCCTGCCTTCAAATCATCCAAGAGAGTGTAGGAGTTCGCCATAGCAGTAATCGTTTAGGTGAGTTTCTGCTATGTAGCTTTTGAGATGCACTCGCCATCATTGAGGGTCGATGTATTTATAATGATAATGTAGACGGTTCCGTGGGATTCGAAGAGGTCAAGTAAATGGTTATCACTGTGATAAGGATGAAAAGCTTCAAGTTAATTACTAATTAAAGGAAAGCAGAGCCGTTACGGTGAAGAGGTTGTGGTTCGGCGGCGATTTGCACGAGGAGGGAGGCTCATCGCGAGTTACAGAGAACATAAGAATAACCTAAAAACTAACGGGCCTTAAACAAAACGTAAACACAAAAAGCCCAACCAATTAAACCCCTCAAGAAACCCGGCTTAATAATCAACCCTTTAACCGGCACGCACAGACTCCACATTTTCGGTTTGTTTCTGATAGTTAATTGCTGACGTGGCTTTTTTTGCCCCACCCTATGATGCTGAGTTGGACACCCTAAGAAGGGAGAAAACTTAACTTTATTGTATAAGATNCGTAAACACAAAAAGCCCAACCAATTAAACCCCTCAAGAAACCCGGCTTAATAATCAACCCTTTAACCGGCACGCACAGACTCCACATTTTCGGTTTGTTTCTGATAGTTAATTGCTGACGTGGCTTTTTTTGCCCCACCCTATGATGCTGAGTTGGACACCCTAAGAAGGGAGAAAACTTAACTTTATTGTATAAGATCTGTTCTCACTTTTCTAATTAGTTTACGGGAAACTTAATTTGCATGTACGCAACGAATATATATGTACGTACGTAAACGTATACTGTATACAACACACTTATATATTGTATAGTCTATAGAATATAGTACGTCGTATAGATTTTGCTAGCTTTACAATATCACGTGCGAAGTGTATGATTAGGTTTAGGTCGAAGATTACATGCATGGACGAGAATTTAGATATTTCAACACTTTACTAAGAATTGTTTTCCGTCCTCTCAACAAACAATTGATAAGATATCATTGGGTCGTTTAATTCATTTCAACTTCATGCATACGTATTTCTTATGTAAGTCATTCCAAAAATTAATAAAGAAAAATAACATTCCTACAAAATTGTAAGAACATAAAACAAAATTGATACCTTGTGTAGAGGTACAAAAAGTCAATGGTCAAAGATTTGCAATGATCTGTCGGTGCCTCCCATAACCTTTCCGTATAATAGCATAACAAAAACTCTTTGTGCTGCGATGAAACGTGTAGAGTCAGAATCACTACTTAAGTAAGGTTTACATATACATCAAAAGGTTCAGAAAACCCCATCACGGCTCACTATAGAGACAATTATTTATATTACGGACTTGACCTCAAGGAGTGGTGTCCTACGGCCATACCCTTGCATCTCGGTGCAACCGTTATGACGCTCTCACCTGATTTTGGGTGGGAGCTCTCACATGGCATTAACGGGGACCTTGTCAAACTCATTTCCTAAAACGGTAAAACACTCTTCTCCATAGTTTTAACTTTTGTCATGATTCAGATATTTGTAGCTCGTTCTAGTTATTTTTCCTTGGAATTTTCTAGGAAATTTATGGATCATACCAGGAAATAAGGGAGATAGCGAGCGTAAAATTGGCCAACATATAAAAAAATGCAGACCGTATTACTGACATCATCTAGTGATGTTATTTACGAAATTTTCCATGTACGAATTTACATCTTAAAATTTGTAGGAAGCTTTTGGAATATAGTATATTAATAAAGTTCTATAGTCAATTAGTCATATGCATAGAAAAATCAACTCACAAGAATATAATTATAAAGTTTAACTTACTTACTTGGAAGTGGATATTTATTCGCTCTTTTTGGTAAGTCAATTTTCCACATTTTTCTAATTCAATTTTTTCACCAAAGTAAATAAATATAACTGCTAAATACGAACAGGGGAGTGACCAAAGAAATATGTATGTAGTCCTCTAAGCATATGTTAGTTATATTAATTAACTTGTTAGGCACCGATTTTAAACCTAGGTTATATAGTAATCAAGTTACACTTTTCTGGAGCCGTATTATGTACTGATTTACTTACATTAGCCGTCATGTCTCATGTGTTTTTAGAACATTATAAATTTATATGAATATAATTTTCTTTTAATCAATGATTTACGTTCCTACAGATTCGACTAAACGTGTTTTGGTCATTACTTACAATATATGTATACGACCAGTGGCTTTAATTGATGTTGAGTTTTGAAGATATATATCCCGATTATATAGTGTTGCTTGTCGAATAAAATTCCAACTTACTTGTCAGCGATATAAAATATATACTTTGTGATAAGACAAATACTTTGTAATAAACGTTATATATGTTTTATACTAACAATTAGGACATGCAAATAAACTGAACCCAAAAATCCGAATCGAACGCGATAAAAATAAATCTGAACTGATCCGAACCCAACATAAATATCAATTAGACCCTCTTTATGATATTTTGGATTATGAGTATTATCCGAACCGAATCTAAACCTAAATGATATTCAAATATTCGATAGAACCCGAAAAATTCAAAATCCAAAAGAAAACTTATACCAAACATGATCTCAATTTCTAATATGTATTCAAAATACATTAAGATATTATTGAACATCTAAAATAATTATCTGTTACACGAAAGTCGATGGTTGAAGGTGGCGATTAAAGTTTGAAGTTTTTAGATTTTGATTTTGTTTTCGCTGAATAATATTTCACTTTCATGAGAACTTAGATTACATTTTATGATTTCATTTATTGGTTTTCTTTCTACTAGTATGTTTATCAATCTTTTGATTTTTAATGACTATGTTCGATGTTTCTTTCTTATTTTTAAATTGATTTTACTTATATTTTACTTACAAAATAGATATAATTTAGGTATTTTAAAACTGAAGAACCAATTTTATTTTATGTTTTGATATACAAAGTAAATACACATCATGTACTATACACCAAAAAACTAATTGTGATCCAAACACGAAAGTAAATCGAATTGTACCAGTTCTTTGAAGATTTACTAACTCCGATCCGAATTCAATAGAATCTGAACTGGTCCCAAACCAAATATTCATATAATCTGAATGGAACTGATTTTAATTAATTCAAAAAACCGAAACCTGATTGGATAAAATAGAAATCCGATTAGGATTCCGAATGCCCAGCCTACTAACAATGACAAAGTACTTGTTTTGAAAAATTATGTAAATATCGCATTTTCTTTGTCTTTCTCTACAATACTTGCAGAGTTTCATGCATTAAACCTTTTTTGTCAACTCAAGCATTAAACCTTTTCTGCCATAGGATTGTTATTTTCTTACAATTTCTGTTGAATGAAAATATAACCTATTAACCGTGCGTAGTCAGTATCTTTATATATCATTTCCGTAGTATTTTCTTCTAGAAATTTCCCGCATTATATATGATAGAACATTCCAAAACAAACAGTGAGAATTTAAATTAGATAAACAAGAATATAAATTGAAAAGCAGATGAGATGACACTTTGACGAGAATAATATCTTTGCTAAATATTACCATCTTGGTCTCGTATCTAATTCTAGTTAATATCTAGACTTTTTGAAGTCAAATAGTAGGTATCCCCGACGTGATAATTCCAGTAACAAAAAAGTTGAGTTTACAATCTAACTAAGGCATTTGCCAATATTTGACAGATTATTATTGTTGTCTTTTTTAAATTATTGCAAATAAAACCATCTAAAAGAAAACATCAATAAGGTGTTCACACCCAACAAATGTTGATTATATACACTCATTTGATTTTCATGGACGATCAAAATTATAACAAATCCAGCAAAAAGGTCGGATACGTGAAGGCACCAAACTAGTATAAACACCGATTACACGTGTCAGCCAATAACAATGGAGTCCAGCTGTAATGGTCCACACTTCTGGATTTCTACTTCTTCTCGCCGGGATACATTGACCAAAAACATCTCAAAGTTCATAGTGAACGCCGTTTTTTGTGTTTACCGGGAAACGGAAAATGATGGTGTAGCTTAGGGTTTTAGAAAAGGCTGTAGGAGAGTTTGTTGCCGGTAATTTGTGGGACAACTCCGTTAGAAAGTACTGCTGATTAAACGGATATTGCCGGTTTCTCCGCCCTGGTCAACCGGGTAAAAATCCCGTTATAAAATCTGTGCCCTCATTTATACCCTTCTCTATCTCTCTCACTCTCACACGGCTATGTCCGCATTTGAACGTTCCTGTCACCTTTATTCCTACTGTTTCTATGTTTTTTCTTCTTTCTATTCTTACTTTTACGGTTTTACCGTAATGGTCTAATAGGAAAAGCAGAACCAAAGCAAACAAAAAAGGTTTAATTTGAAATCAAACTCAATTTCGTGTAACAAAACCTAAATAGATGGATAAATATTTGCATCCATAATCTTTTGAATTTATATGAGAAGGATTAAATACTTATATTTGTTAATTTTTTAACTAAGATTAAATTCAATTAAAACAAAACTGAAAACAAGCGGAATTATATAAATGAATTTATTTGGTTGTGTACGTAGAACAAAAAACGCGAACTTGAAATTTACACCACAATCAACAAATGGGAAAAAAAAATTAAAAACTTTGTTTGAAACTCCTTTTGTTTATTCTCTTCTTCTCTCTAAAAATATAGGTAAACATGAGTTGATTTGTTAACCGAGTCCTATATATATAAGAAGTCTTGGTATCAATCTCATTTGTTCTCCGGTTTAGTGTCATCCGACTTCAAGGTATACAAGTTACAAAATTTATGATCATTTTGTGAATAATAAAAAAAACAGTAGAAGTCATAACATAAAAACAGGTATAATGTATCAACAACTATCAACCCTTTTCTCCAAAGAGAATATTTATCTAACGTATTTTATTAGCTGAAAATAAAGTGGGGGGAATTATTGAATAATATATAGTTTGAATGTCCTTAAAATATTATTCAAGCCAGTAAGGGTATTGACCATTTTGGAAAATTAAAATATTATTGAATTTTACT